GACCCGGACCAGGGCCGCCCGGCCAGGGACGCGGCCTGGAGCGGAGCCACGGTCTCGGGGCTGCGTGCGTCCGGGTGTCTGTGTGTGTCTGTCTCTGCGAGCCGGCGTCCCCAAGTGCAGGCGCCAGCCTGTCTATGCGGGACCAGCGCGAGCCTGGCAGACTCCCGGCGCAGGGAGATTTTCGCTGGGGTCGTGGAGGCTCGCGAGGANAGCTGCGGGGAGCGGCGGGCACCGACCAAAAGCACCGGGCTGCAGGCCGCCGCCGGGGTGGGACGAGCCTGGGGTCCTCCGGACGCAGTTCGCTTTTCCCTGAGCTTACGGGCTCCCGCTCTCCGGCGTGGCGGCGAGCCCCGACGGCAGGCTGCGGGCCGAGACGTGGCCAGGGCTTGCCTGCTGCTCGAACAGCCCCGGAGGCTCCCGAGGGCTCGGCCTCCTCCCGGGCTCTGCCATCTCCGCCTGTCTCTGGCCGGCGTGCGCCGCGGGCCTGTTGGTGCCCGGTGCCGGGGCTCTCAGCGCCTGGGAGGGCATCAGTGTGGGTGCAGGGTGTGGGTGTCTGTGTATCTGTGCGTCAGTGTGTCACTGGGGCTATGTCGTGGACTTGTCGGCTTCTCAGAGACGCAGTTGGTCACCCCCGACCGACTGTCCAGCCCCCTTGTCCTTCTGGGTGCAGCGTGGTGATAGTGGTCACCCCAGTCAGTGTCTGCCTCTGTGCTCTGAGAAAGCAAAGAAGGGCTTTGGAGTTTGTGACCCCCCCCCAGCCCAGAGGGCTTTCTCACACACAGTCCAGGTGACTCCAGAGGGGAGAATGCCAGTCCCCTTGAGATGACTCCAAGGCTAGTCAAGACCCCACCGCTTGGAGTTGTGGTGAACCACCTTGGTCTCCCAAGCCTCAGGGCAGAGGGGCTCCTTCCAGTGCTCCTTCTTGGCCAAGACCTCTTTCGCCCCAAAGGGGTGATGCTTGTACATGTGAGCATACTCTTATCAAGTTCTGTGCATGTGCAGAGAACTACCCAACTACTCAACTAATCTGACCCCCTCGCTCCTTCCCCAGCGGGCTGCAGCTACCCCTCACCAGGCTCAGGCTTCTCCACCCACCAGGGCACAGCCAGAGCCTCTTCTTGCCAGATATCTCTTTGGGCTGGTGAAATAAACTTGGAATTTAATTCAAGCTGGAACCTCCGACTTCTTTCCTACTAAACAACACCAAAGCACCATATAAATGTAAGTTACTGCTGTTACTATTTGCACCCTTACTTTTTGAGAACCCCCTCACCCTATCTTTTCTAGACCTCACCACCACCACCAGGCCTCCAGGGACCTAGGCCCAAATCTGTTCCCCCTTAGTTTTGCCTCTCTCCCCCCTTCTCCAAGGCTCTTTGCAGATTTAGTTCCTGGCTGGGGCGCTGCTGCTGGGTCTCTTCACCTCCCCCTTTGGTCCTGAAACCACAGGAGGAGCTCCAGGCCAGAGATCCACAGGTCTGGAAGACTGAGTCTCCCAGGGGGTCCTACTGGGACTCTCAGGGGTGTCTGAGGCCAACCCTGGAAGCCCGGTTTGGGGAGTGACTGAAGTCCTGATCCAGCCATGGCCATGCAGTTCCCTTCTGTGAGGCTAAGGGCTCGGGGACTGACTCACAGGTGCATCCTGGGCGCAAAGGGACTTCCTTTCTGAAGGGTCTTACACCTGGTGCTCGGTCCCACTGGCTTCCACAGCCCTGAGGGAAGGCAGGAGGCCTCCCCTCAGAGCTGGCACCCTAGCTCTGGGCCGCTTCTGTTGGTCCCAGCGAGATGTACTGGGCAGGACAAAGCTGAGAACCTTCAGCTCAGGCAGGACGGCCAGAATGGCAGGGCCGGCTGAGCCCGACTGCCAGAAGGGCCCTGCTCCCGCATCAGGGCTGCCCTGCTGATCTCTACTTCAGAGTGGGCAGGCCAGCAGGCCAGCGCGGACGCCCAAGCCTGAAAGCCTTGCAAAGCTGCTCTGTGCCCCCTTTCCGCTCACAGAGCAGCTCCTGACTGGGGTCTGGTCTACACCTAGCGTGAGGAGAAAACCTATTTGAAGCTCATGCACACACACACTCACACTCAAGGGAGCGATCTGCCTGAGCTTGGTCTGGGTCTCCATTGACCAGGGGCATCGAGAGTGCCCTCAAAGCTGGTTCTTGAGGAGGCAAGAGAAGAAAGTCAAAGTCAGTCAGGCGAGCACAACACGGAGTCCTCTAAATAAACACCATTTCCGTGGTTTTAATAAGCAAAATAGGAAACCATTTTAATAACCAAAAAACAGAAACCAGTCTGAATAAAACTACAATAGACTAGGTTTTAATATTTTCATATCATAAGCAGGGTTTGAAATTGATCCCTTATTTTACATGAAATAAAAACAATTTCTGTTGCGGCAAATTTGATTTCAACACAGTTGAATCTGTAAAAACCAAAGCTTGTTTCTGATGCAGGACGAATATCCACAATATTTAAAACTGCAAGCACCATGCGGTTCATACAATCTTGTTATTACTGTTAATTTATCAACTAATACAAACCCAAAAATGCATCCGGCCAGCAGCGCCAGCAATTTCAAATGGGAACTAAAAAACACTCTTTTGTTTTGGTATTTTTGTCAGTGCAACTTAAATCCTTTTACTGACCTGCAGGAAAAAAAAAAAAGTAATAATAAAGAAAAACACCCAGATCTTCCCTATAACTACTATACAACTGAAGGGGAAGGGGGGAACACTGCCAGTAACTCGCCTGGTATCTCAAAAGCAGGGAAAGAAACACACATAACATGTGAAAGTTGCAAAATTACTTGCCAGTGTTTGGGTTTCCAGTACTTTCTGAGTGTGGATGTTGGTTCAACACAGGTTCAGGTCACCATAGGGCAGTGTCCGAGATGGTGAGGCCACTCACCCTAGGGGCACAGCGGCTCCAGCAATGAGTACAGGCCTAGAAGTTTGCGAAGGGGCCCTGGGGTGATTCTGATGGCAATAAAAAGGCAAACAAGATCTGTTTTCCTTTCCTCTCTTGTTAGGGGTGTCAGTTTAGCCATAAGACATGGTGGAAGCAAGGACCTTCCTGGCCCTTCGGGGTTTGCAACTCCGCAGCTGCCCTGCCCGGGTACTCGGGATCTGGGACCCCAGTCCTCTTTCTCTCAGAACCAACAAAACTGAAAACTAAAGAGGGAGATAAAAGAGGGCAAGAGGCTACAGCAGCAGGAGAAAACAAACAACTTCCAAAGGTGCCCAAGACAAAGTTGTTTTCTGATGCAAAATGCCCAGAACTTTTTTTCTTACTTACAAAAAAAAAAAGTCATAATAATATATCCAAACAAAGACACTCAACTTGCTGCCACGTTCTCTATGCGGTTTGGCAGGCGGGTATTTACAAGCCGCTAGCCGGGACTGAAACCCGGCAAGCAGCCGCTGGAGTTTCCGAACTGCGTTCCCTTCTCACTCAAAGAAACAAGGGGTTATGATCTATGATCAACAACATGCTAAAGTTAAACAAGGAAATGGTACAAAATAGAAATTATTACCATACATGTCCAGCATGCAGGATTAATATTTTTAATGCAGATTTTCGTATTTTTTCTATATAATCGAGCAGGCAATAAAACTGATGATATTTGCGCGCAGAATGTTCTAACTGAGGCCCGCGTCTCCGGGCTGAGAGCCAGTGTTCTCCGGACCCTGGACAGACAGGTCCGTCTGTCCTTCCTTCCTCGCCTCGCGCCTGCCAGGACGCCTGCCAGGGTCCCTCTCCTCTCCTCTCCTCGCTGCTCTCTTCCCGGGCTGGACTGCGCTCTGGGCCGTGAGGTAGCCGCCCCGGCTTAACGCACAGAGTTCAGAAAGCCACGAGTCTCCAGACGGCCTTGGCGACTCCTCGGGACTATGCCTCGCCGCCCTTCAGCCTGAAGAAAAGTTGCTCCGGGACTTCCCACCCCCTCGCCTCTCTCTGGCTCTGCTCGAGTCTAGGAGGCGGCGCTGGCGCGCGCCGCTCTCGCCTTGGGCAAGGTCCCCAGCCTGCCCGCGCGCGCCCTCCCTTCGCCCGTGTCCCGCGCGCCCTTCCTCCCTCTCCCTCAAGTCAAACAGGTCAGGGCTGGGGCTGGTGGCAGGGACAGGGTCCAGGGGAGTCCGGGGCTGGGAACACGGGACGGGGAGCCCGGGCCAGGGCCAGGGCGGGGGCCGGGCCGGGCCAGGACTCACAGAAAGAACTCGGGAGAGGAGGGGCTGTCGCTGGTGGAGCCCGCCTCCCTGAAGCCGGAGTTGGCGAGTTTCTCGCACTTGACCTTGTAGGCGTCTCTTTCGCGGGCCAGCCGGGACACCTCCTGCTTAAGCTGCTCCACCTGCTGAATGAGCTGCGTCTTCTCATTCTCCAGGTGGTGTTTCTGCTGGACGCGTTTATACCTGCACGACTGGGCGTAGCCCCGGTTCTTCAGGGTTCTCCGCTTCTGTTTCAGGCGGATCACCTCGTCCTTGGTGAAGCCCCGCAGGTGGCGGTTCAGCTCGCGCACGGACATGGACACGAGCTGGTCGTCGGAGAAGCGGTCCTCCACGCTGCCGCCCCCTCCAGGCGCTGTCGCGGCCGCCGCGTGCGGCCCAGGCCCGGGGTGGCTGGTGGGCAGCTGCTGCGTGGGGCTGGCCGCGTTGGACGGCGGCGGCGACGCTTGGTGATGGTGGTGATGGTGCGGGTGGGCGTGCGGGCCCAGCTCTTCGTGGGCCACGCCGGCGCCCGGGTACGCGTGGTGTGGGTGTGGGTGCGGGTGCGGGTGGTGGTGGTGATGGTGGTGGTGCGCCCCGCGGAAGCCGTCGAAGCTTTGCAACGGCTGTGGCACCGGGTGCGAGCCGATGAGCGCCTCCACCGCGTCCTCGGGCGTCAGGTTGAGCGCCTCGGGGTTCATCTGCTGGTAGTTGCTCGCCATCCAGTACAGGTCCTCCAGGTGGGTCTTCTGTTCGGTCGGGCTGAAGCTGGGCGACGAGGGCACCGAGCTACACGGCGTGCTAAGCGGTGTGGACGACACCGAGCCGGCGGGCTGCAGGCGCGTGCAGGGCCGTCCCGGGCGCTCCGCGCGCCCCAGAGGCTCCTTCTTGACGTCGAACTTGAGCAGGTCGAAGTCGTTGACATACTCCATGGCCAGCGGGCTGGTGGGCAGCTCAGGCCCCATGCTCAGCTCCGCGGCCATCG